GTATGCATTGAAGGTCAAGGCTTGTACTTTATAGTTACTCTTATTTCGTTGTATTTGTGAAGAGATTAATATAAAGAGTGAGTAGAACGTGATACAAAATCTGTTTCCAATTATTAAACCTAAAAGTATCAACTTATTTAATTCAAATAATTTATTTAGTATAATGGTCTTTATTCATGATTTTTTGGTATACTAGCTTGGAAGATAAAATTAAAAAGAGACATGCGATCAACTTTATGTATTATTAGTTCGAAATTGATATACCTTCAATATTTTAAGATGAAATACCATTTTTCAAGTTGTTTTATATGCAAGAAGAAGTAGGAATGTGATGCAATATTTGAACTGATAATTCATAGTTTCTGATGGCCATTTTAAGGCTACAAAAAGCCAAGGATGATTTTGACAGGTTGAGGTTGACTTTTGCCCAGTATTGGTCAACAATGAGGACTTGACTAAAATAACCACCATTTGAATGGAAAGCCTTCGAGCAAGTGGAATTGGATTTTGAATAACACTATTTTTTGGTTTTGGAAATCAAATTATTTCTTGAAATAGAAAATTAAAAGCTGTGAAATATAGGAAAGAAAACGAATTGCAGGTAATTGAATTGCCTGAAACTTGTTTTACTGTAAATTGTCAATTAATTGTGTTTGATTAGTATAATTTTTCACTTAAAAAATGTTGAAATTTTCTATCTTTTGGTGTTCGCTTAATTTTGTTTTTAATGAAAATTGTCAATTAAAGGGATATAATTTCTTAAAATTGGGGATATAATTTGTTTGGGTTGCCAAAAAAGAAAAAAAAATTGGAAATTTTTTTGTATTCATTTGGCTTTGTTTTACATGAAAATTGTTAATTAAAAGGATAATTTTTTTTTTTTACAATTGGGATAGAATTTGTTGCTATTGCCAAAATATTATACCTTAAAGTTAAGGGTGGAAAAATGTGGGAATTGACATTCAACTAAAACAAGAAAATGTGGTACATGTGAAAAATCAATTCTTGGGAAAACAGTGTCATCCAACATGGTAAAAGTGGGAAATGGAATTTCAATTCCATTTTCCATGGAAAAAAAATGGCATATCAAACATTTCCTTAGGGTCCGTTTGATTGGTTTAAATTACATGAAAAATTACACATTCAAGGAATTCAATTTCTACTTTGGCTGTTTGATACGAAGTGGAAATCGAGTTCGAATTCTAAGGTACAATCACTTTAAATTTATTTTTTACCAAGTTAATAGAAAGAATAATGCTATTTGCAGTCACTCACTGCAGCAGTCGCCCTATGTGACACACACATGTCAAATGTGTATTTAATGCATTAATGTGGTCAAAAAACTACTACATTAATGTATCAAATAACTACATGTCATGTGTATACCACATAGGGCGATTGATGCAATGAGCGACTACAAATAGCATTACTCCTAATGGAAAATACATTCATATGGGGTATTTAAATTTTTATTTTTCAATTTACATGGAATTAAAAAATATTTCTACATTTACCAATTGAACGGACCCTTGAAAATATGAGGGGGAATTTAATTGATGTAGTATTGTACAAATGTAATAAAAGCTTTAAACCAAATTACCTCTCATCCATTCTTTCACTTGGATTCTCCAAGCGATTGAAATTCTTCGAACCAATTGATCTTTCTCAGCATTTTTCAAGATGTCCTTGGGTGAGCTCCTCTCACATATCGAACTAGGTGTAGGGTACTTGTAAAAATAAAACGCGCGGTACCAAAGGCAAATTTAGCATGGGAGCAATGAGGTCGACTGCGTACCCATGCTAATTTCGAATTTTAGTTTTGTTTTAAGAAAAAATAATTTTTATCAATGTGACCCCCAACAAATATGGTGTATTCTAGTTTCCTTCATTTTCTATTACCAAAAAATAAAATACTCTTTCCTTTTGTACGCACATATCTCGTTAAAATATGATTAATTTTTATAATTGTTTTACTTAACTTAAACATAATTTGTGTTTTTTTTTCCCTTCACTTACTTTTGGAAGTATTTTTTTTATATTTTGATTATTTATTGAGTAAAATCAATTTATTTCCCGAGTGCTCTCCCCAGAGCTAGGGGACATATATTGTTCGAATTATTCGTTCACCTATCAAACCGACCTCGAACTAGGGCTGTGGTCCCTTCTTCGCATATGAGCTTTTTGGGGAAGGCATGAGTGTAGGGAAAGGGAAGAAGTCTAGAAGAGTTCTTTCCATCTCTTTCTTAATCTTCCGTAAGAGCAAGTTGATGAGAAGCCTCCAAGTGACATGATTCCTACATAAGCTAAAGTTGAACGATCAAAGTCTCCTTTAAATTCCGTCGAAGAGTAGAAAATAAAAAAGTCTTTGAATAAAATAATCATCTTTAATGTTTTCTTCGAATATCATTATCAACCAGCCATAGCAGCCCTCCGACTGCTATAGTCTACTATACCGTTGTTGGCATTGTAGCACCGTGAATCGTCAACAAGCTAAAATTTATAACTCTACCCCTACTCACTATCATTGTGCTTTAAATAAAGGGGCAAATATTTAATTTCACTTTGTATTTATTATTATTTTTTTGCTTATTTAAAAAAGGAGGGGCAAATAAGTATTTTTATGGTCTCTTAATAGAATTTTTTTTTTTTTTTACGAACGTCATCATAATTAATTGAATATTGCTAATAAGAATGAGTTAAAAAAAAAAAGTTGGAGACATAATATCATATAATAGTGAATAGTTGGCACAACTATCTTGTTAGTACAAGGTGTCAATCACCTATTAATTCATCGTAATTATCTGTATTAAAAAATAAGTTGTGTCACATTGTACTTCTATACGCACGCATCCATTTTATATTATATCAAGTTATTGATGACAATTGAATACTTAATTCAAATAATTAAGTAACAACATAGAATAATTCATATTTATTTATAAATATATTTTTACAGTTAGAAACTGATAGTCTTTAGAGCATCTTTTATAGACTTTCTATTTATAAAGAGCATCATATATATAATAAAAAAACATCTTTAAAATTAAAGTATAAATTTTTTTTTATATATTTCAATAATGTTATCTATTTTAGCACTTCATTTTGCGTTTCTTAAAAAATATTTATTGATTTCTCATAATATTTTATTTAATATATTTTTTTATATGTTTATGACATATCAATACAAATGTGATTTGAATAATTTAAAAAGTAGAGTATTAAATTTTGTTGTTTATTAGATGTAATCATTATAAAGTATGATTAAGTTTGACTATCTAAATTTGGAGAGTAAAAAATACTCTCTATTTTAAAAAGTTAGAATGGGAATCTTTTACAGTTTATTTTGAAGTATTAACTCTATAAAATAGAAAACATTTTTTTATTTAAAAAGTCTCGAAGATGCTCTTAGAGCACTAATTCAAACATTCTTTGCTTTCTAACCTTTTTTTTTTTTTTTAGTTGTGAGTGAAAAATTATCCATTCGTATTTTTTCTGTATTTGAACCTAACAAATTGTGTAATTTGTTAGCACTCATATGTAAATTGTAGTCTCATGTTTTTTAATTCCCCCTTTCGGTTTCAGATGAGACTAATATTGAAGTTAATGTCTTGAGTAAATTTTCGTTCTTAACTCTTGAGCTAGATACCGATCTCGTAAATTGTAACTTTTAGACATATACTACGTAAAGTTTAATTACACAATACTAAAACATAATCTAATATTATTATAAATTACAAATAGCTTGTTTGTTAGAGATGACAATGAAGCGGATTCGGAGTGGGGTGCGACCCACCACTCCCCCACCGCGCCCACCCCGCCTTAGACAGGACGGGGCGGGTGCGGGGCTGTCCCATTTCCTGTCCCTTTTATTATTTTTTTAAAAATTTTCAGTTAAATTTAAAATTTTCAGTTAAAATACAAATTCAAAATTTTAAAATTTCAAGCAAATAATGCTCAAACTAACTACATCAATATCCAAAACAAGCACTCGAAACAAACAATGTCCGGAAAAAAAAAATTCTATTCTTCACGGGGTGGGTTCGGGACGAATTTTTTTATCATCACTATTGTTTGTAAAGATGTAATATATTGTTTATTAACATCAAATTCATTATTATTTGTATGATTTCCTTAATTTCTTGGTGGGGGTAGTAGGGGCCTATGTTGGCGTATCTTCACAGTTCAGTTGTCAATTCGTTTGACCATCAAGCCTTGCCCTTCGGTAACTTCTCCATTGTAATATTTGGAGAAAAATTTAAGGGAAAATTGTGTTACGCTTTCCTAATCTATTGCTCGAATAGCAAATTGATGTCCCAACTTTCGAATATTTATGAGAAAGTTAGTCTTCAATCTTTTATTGTATTTTCTCATCAACGAAAATCAATCAAATCGCTATTAAAGTATCATGTGCCCCTCATTTTTCCAATTTTAAACAGATTTGTAAAACGATAATGTCATAATCGCTTATAAACTTACAAAGCAAACCTTTGACGAGTTATGTGGGGATACAATTTGATCTCTAAATGGCTACTTGAACTATAGGTTGAAGACCAGTGGTACAACTTTGCAGAAATTTAATGCACTTGAAAATGGTAAGCTACATACATTTGTACCGGTACCTTTTGTTGACTAAATACAGGACGAAAGCTGAGAAAATTAAGAATCTAGCGTCCAAAACAACCAAGGAAAATCAAAATGATTAAAAATGAATGAGTAATTAATAAATTATTGCAGTTACTTTGTGAAAATCATTAGAATTTACAACAAATGCACTTGGCAAAAGTGGCTTTCACTGTGTTCTTGTTCTCAACTAAAAAGATCCCTTCACATTATCTAAGGTTTAAAGAACATGTGCATATGTTTTTGTTTCTGCACATAAGGTGCTTGGCTCTGAAAATTTGGAAGCACATAAAATATGGAAGAGGACCCTCACATAGGAATTAATGGTACTAAACAAATTAGAGTAGAAGGGGCTACACCACCTAGGTCGAGGTATCAACCTAAGATTTCCACGTCTGAAACTCTTCACTTTTTAACATGAATGAACTAGCATTTCGATGCCCCCCACCTCCGTATTCCTGCAGAGGTATTGGAAAAGAGTTGGCTTCGGCTACATTATCCTATAGTTCTGCAAGTGAAAGGAAGATACAAAATGAGAAAATAGAAAAGGCGTACTTGTGATATTGGGGTTGTATCCTCACTATCAATGCTTCTTAGGCTTATCTTCAGCAGTTCATCATTTTCAAGCTCTAGTACTCTATATACAACAGCTCCAATTCCCCTAAACAACGTCAAGAGATGATGACGACGACGAAAAATACAATGTGACACAATATTTCATAGCTTCTGAAGTACCTCAACCAACACATTTAAAACGAAATGCACTATAAAAAGGAAAGGAGGAAACTCAAACTCCGTTGAAATGTAGAAAACAAACCAATACAAACCTCAAGTTGCTTTTACGGCTTTTATTTGCCAACTGATTTCCAAGCTCACTCCTTAACTCAGATATGGAATCCGCATCAACGGCCTACAGGAAGAAAAAAAGATCGTATTCATGCATTCCCAACTCTACGACTAATATCAACCAATTCAATTCCAAAAACGCAGTTATGTTCGCCCAATATTGCGGGGCACATTTTAAAACAAGATAAAATATATTACAGCATTAACAAATTTCAATAAATAAAAACTAAAAACATGTGAAAAACTTCCTATCATCCATGCACACAGCACAGACATTCTCATATGAAGCATAGCCCAATTCATGACTTGCATTTTCTATGCTAGCAGGCAACAAAACATACTAGACAGTGTAGTTCAAACAGATATTCAGAAGATCTCTCGAGGGGATTAATTAAGTTTTAAATTACTTGTTATTAATATTAATTTTCACTCATTTGAAGATATTGTTAGATCCAAATTTGAAATTGACAATTTTCGTATTCAAAATCATAAGTTATCGAGTTGTAATTAAAGTCAAAATAGTTGTGAGTTGGTAGTTTAATCCTTGGAGGAGTTAAAGATGTCAAATATGGACCGAGGAGAAAAAGTTGACGCAAAACCGCTAGTTAGCCGCACATTGAGCACTCGATCACTCAAAACAGGAACGCAGCTGCTCGCATGGTGCTTGAGCGATGGACCGTTTTCCAATTCTATTCGACCTCAAACTCTTAAAAATATAAATGCCCAAGCCTAGTCCGTCCCAAAAGTGTATTGAATCATTATTTCATATTAGAGATCACACTCTCGAAGAACCAAAACATATTCCAAAGATCTCTTGATTTAACCATAAGATTCATTCTTGATAATTATTCCTAAACATTGTTTCGTTATTGGTTGAGCCTTAATTTTAGTCATGAGAACATCATTTGAAGATCAAATCCATATTCCAATAATCTCTTGCCTCAGCCACATATCAAAATACAAAAGGTCGAAAGTTCAAACACCAACAAAAACCTTACCTTCACCTATAAGCTTTTAGAGATCTGAAGTTCGGAGAAGAGGCACTTGGAGTTCCAGTGCTCTAGAACAAGTTCATTCTTATGATCTACTTGGAGAGAAAACTAGCTTAGAGTTGTTGAGAAGTGGGGGTTGCTCGACCAAAGGAATCCCTTGGTGATTTACAAGTTAAGTGATTAGAGTCAACTAAAATTTAGTAGTGTCTAGACTAATTGTAAGTTAACTTTTCTAATGAATTTTACTAGCAAGTTCACCCAGAGATTTTTTATCCTGAGAATGGGTTTTCTTCCATGATCATATTTGATGTTATTTACTTTATTGCTTTTAATCTGCGTGTTTATCGATTGACACATAATGTTTAAAGTGATTTTAACTTTAATCATCTAGATACAATAATTAAGTGACTTATTGCTTGTTATCGATTATTTTCGCATATCTGGGTCTAAATAAATATTGCTAACAAGTGGTATCAAAGTGTTAGTAAAATTAACAATCTATATTTTTTTCAGATATTAAATCAGATAATTGCTACCTTGTTTATCAATTTTGTTTTGAATGTTCACGTCAACTGGGGAAGCTAGCTTTGATCAGGTTCAATAGCTTGTCAGCAAGCTCCATTTAGTCGAATCCGAAGTTGGGGATGCATTCATTCAAAGATCTTGTCACCGGGAACAAGTTCACAAAGAACCCATAACATACAGATGCCGTCACAAGATACTACAGATGAAGGAGGAAAAACTTAAAAGGGGACAAAACTACAAGGTCCTGGAACCTCCAAGATCCAAGAGGTGCTGTCAGAAGATACTACAGATGAGATACAAGAGGCTGCAATAACTGCGACTAGATTCCCATTTGTTTTTTTAATTTGAATTGAGCACTTCTTATAAAATAAATGATCATCCAAGTCTTAGGACATCAAAAAAGAAGAAATATAAACAATTGACGAATACCAAGTATATGGATGCATGTGATTGATTATGCCAGCTCTTACTCTTATATGGTCAATACTGGTCACCCAGAAGAGAAAGGTGAAAACAGTAGGACATATCAAAAGTAAAAGACGAGTCAAATTATGTAGTTAACTAGGTGTATCAAAAGAATGACCATCAGTCACACCTTGAGGGCAGCGAACTGTAGGACATATCAAGCAATGGTCATCCGAATGAGTAAGGGCAAGCTGTAGGATATATCAAACGTGGAAGACAAGTAAAATTGAGTGGTTGACAAGGTAAATCAAAAGAAAGATAATCAGTCACACCTCAAGGGCCAGTAAAGAGTCACCTGATTGATTACTACCCACATGGCACAATGGTGACAACACCACAGACCATACGTCCAATCGGCTATGACCACCTGACACATTGGTAAGACGTCTCTCACGAAAATCTGAGTAACTGGCTTCTACCTATATTGGAAAAATAATAATAATAACCCTCAAACTCAACCCGGACTCCCCCCTCCCTGAAGCAAATTCAACATAATCTATTGGCCAAGTCAACTTAATAACTTCACAACCTCTGGAAAAAACCTCTGCAAAATGGGAATAGTTGGAGCACGGGGACATCTAGACATAACCCATGCTAAATAAAGATCATGCTCCATCAAATGGGGGAACTACCTCATATAAGTTACTTTACAAACCAATAAATATTTGCCTAGTTGCACACACGTGCAACTCCAACTACACGCTTGCAACTCCAACTATACACTTGCAGTTTGGACATACTTGGAATATTAAAACTGTGACCAAATTCTCTCCAGAGAGCTCTAGAATCACATCTGAATTCATAGCTAATTTGGCCGTCAAAGTGTAACTGGATAAGCACACGGATGAAGAATTGTCCAACAAATAATCCACATCATTGACAGAAACTTTATTGCATCCATAATTATGACAGAACTGTAATTTTCACTAATAATTTTGCCAGTTTCATCATAAATAAACTTCCATTCCAATAGTTTTTAAGAAATGCTGGCATGCTTGAAACTTAGAATTAGGAGGAATACATCACCTGGATTAAATTTAACATTTCTTAATTTAAGGAAAGTCTACGACGGGCACTAGGTTGTCTTCTCATTCATCAAAGGAACATTGATCACAAATTTAAGACAGGTAGTTGACACCTAGCTTTCATATGCAAAACATAAGTTTATATGCATAAAATAAAACTAGCAAATACCCTAAATAGTAAAAGAAAACAACCCGAGTACAAATTTACATCGTAGGCGAATTGACTATTTGGGAGGAAAGAAACTAACTTTTTCGTGAACATTTCTTTCAAAGATGCAAAGGTAATTCAGCTACATAACTATACTACAAACGATAAAAAGGAACTCGCTTAATTTACCAGACAACGTCCAAATGCTCCACCACCAAGTGCAATTTCATATGACTGCTCAAGAGCCTCATCAATGAGCCTCTGTTTGTGTGATAAGCTCTCCAAACCTCGACGTATGAGAGAATCAAGGTCCAATGATAACAACTGCATTTATTGAAGCCCTAGTTAGAAATAGAGAACATGCAGCAAATTGGAAATATGATATGAATTTATGACTTTATTGGAAACTGTAGGTCCCAAAGTTATAATTGGGATCACCATCTCAACAAATGCAATCGTCACAAAGGAAATTCAGTCAAATTATGCTACACAGAACATGCTTGAGTTAAAGAAAAATGTGATTTAAAAGCTATTAATACTCATTACTCACATGACACAGTTACAAGTTGGGTAAAGAGCATAAATCACTTAGAAGAATAGAGCATTGCAGTTTGCAATCACAAAATAAATTAAGTAGCGCTGTTTTATATGCAAAGGTATTTCACTTGAATTATACTAGGAACAGTAGTAGTTACCACATAGAAACAAGTTAATAAGAAATCAATAGTAATCAAGCAACCGAAACTTCAAAACACACTAATTTGTTTTTAAGCAAGGTGACACTAAATTTTGATATCAGTGCACGAAAGGTTAAAGGACCATTGCTTCATTTCAACGAATATTACACCACCAGATACAAATTTTGGACAAGAGCGACTTATTCCATTTTAGAACAAGGAGGATCATGTACAGGTAAAAAGAACAGCAGCCAGAAGAACACAAAAGGCTGAAGAGAGTTTGAAGTCTTTATAGTCTTTGAACACCACAATTATATGTTGTTGTCCCATTGCCTATGATGCACCGACACGGACACGTGTGTCCGACACAATACGTGTGGAATACGCCGACATATGATTTTTCAAAAAAGAACTAACACGACACGTCGTCGACACGTTGATTAAATTCTTTAAAATTCTTCATTTATATAGTATAAATTTAGTTTTATACTGGTTATTAATTTTTCTTATTGAAATATTTTAAATATGAATATCTATTTGTTATTAACTAATAACTTTAAGTTAAAAATATATAATATTTTTAATTAAAAAAAAAGAAAAATGTTTATAGTAGAGTGTCCGATGAGTGTCCGTATCGACACGTGTCGGACACGGACATGCTACTTTAGTTGAGTGTCTCTGCTACAGAGCCCATCGCTATTCCTTGCATAACATCCAACATGGGAAAGCATGTAACTAAATGAAGAAAATGGCGCACGATTTAGCAACCCAAACAAAGACATCAAAACTTCCGTCAGAAAGCAACTTGAAATGATGGAACAGATAGCTCCAACAAAATTCAAATGGAATCTATTAAAATTGGAAACTTCAAAAAATAAATTTTCTTTCAAACTTTATTAATATGAATTGTACACTTCTTTATTCATATTTACATCTTGAAGTATATCTCAGTGCCAAATGCTGCTAATAAGAAAAACTTATCAGTATTTTAAGCTCATTTTTAATGACCTGGTAATATTATTATCATATTTTAACATCTAAAAGTATTCAGATCACCCAAAACAACTATTTCATTACAAGTCTTGTTATTTCCGAATTATCACTTTCGTGCACGAGACAGTTTAAAGGTCAATTTTGTTGCACAGAAAGGAGACAAAGCTATTGATTTTAAAATACAGAAGCATGCACGTGTGGAAGTGTACACTTGTGAGCGTTCTCACACACGCAGAGAGAATATACTGACGACAGTAACAAAAAGAGTCCCAAAAAAATAACCTGTTGAAACAAGGAAGGGTTCAATCTGGCATTAAATTCAAGGTTCAAATCCTTCAAACCGCTGCTAAATGCTTTACTACTAGGAAGACGCCATCTCCACAAGTCGCCATCTTCAATGTATTCAAAAAGTCTCCTTACTCTATCAAATTCCTGAAGCCCCTCTTGATTACCATCTTTGCCACAATTAATGTGCCCATGTAAGAGCTTTTCCTTGAAATAATCATAAGCAATAGTAGCTCCACTCCTCTTCATATCTATCACTTTAATCACGTTTCCACTAACTGAAGTCTCTGAACCTAGCATCTCAAGTGCAGTTTTGTGATGGTCTAAGACCACAATCCTATAAATTAAATCACGTCAAATTTTAAAAATTATTGTAAAAGATATAAGAAGATGTAAAGGCTATTAAATGATTTAATGCAATGTTAAAAAGTCTCAATTGGATACCAAATCGCTTTACCTATGTGAGGTGAGTCGTAAAAGCCTCAACACAAACCAATAAACTAATTCAAAAAATTATTAGAAAAACAAAAATATGCTCATAATATACTGTAAACCATCTTTAAAATTTACAATAAAACAATTTGACAAAATAAAATTTAACTAGCAAAAAAACATAAAATGGATCAATATATTAGCATATAACAAATTGTCAAACTAGTAATGACATAACAAAAATGATAATCCACTTCTAGTCCTAGAGCTAGAAAGGCCCAAAAGCCTTCCACAAAATTGTTGCCATATTTGATTCCCCTATAACTTTCCTCGTCACTGTAGTTTCTTAGTATCGTTTTTCTTCACCATCCACTTGCAATCTTGCCCTATACTCTCCTTTTTATGATTGGGTTGTGTTTAAAATAGTCCATAAGACCCTTAAAATGTTCTAGGCTATAAAAGACCAGCCCAAAAGTTGAGACCACAATTAAAAAGCTAAAAGAGGCAAGAAACACGAGCACACACCTGAGAAGGCCCAATGGAGGATAGTTGCGCTAGAAGCTCAAGCACCCTACACCTTCTTATGACTATGCCTTACGGCATTACCTCAATAAGTCGAGGTGTAAGCAATAACATCTTTGAGTGTAATTTTGGAGCTCGATTAAAGGCACAAGTCTTGTTGCTTTTAAAATAATGACAATAAGCAGTAAAAGTCTAATTTTCAAATTTATGCTAAATTTCCAGGTTTTCAACAGGCAACAGCTGTAGCAAACTAAGAAAGACTAATGAAATTAAACAGCCCACAACTAAATCATCTATATATGTGTCAAAAGATGGATAATTCCAATGAGCTAACCGCACCATGTAAGATGTAAATTGTTTTCAGAATCTATTCTAACTAATTTTATGCATATATTTTAATACAGATCAAAAATCTACTAAAAAGAACTTACTGATCGACTTTGGAAGAGAGCTCTTGAATGAAACTAGGAGGACCCACAAAATCAAGAAGATAAACAAGGTTGATTTCATTCAGAGGCAAATCCTCAACCCTGAAAAACAACAAATTAACTAAGTACACACTTACTTAAAAATACTGCTTTTGAAGAGGGGCCAACCTCAGAGGCGAATATACAGTGTTGGGGAAGAAGAGAGCGGTGGCGGCGGTGGCGATGGTTGTTGAGCAGTGAGAAAAGTAAAGATTAGCGGCCAAAGCGGCAAAGGCGCCATCTGGGCAAGGGTAGTGATATAGCACGGCGGTTTTCTGGATTTTGTTCATGTTGTTCCAGTATCGAACGAACTGGTTGCTGTCGAATGAAAATACCTGGGAGTTGACGAATTTGGTGTAAGATACATATAGATGCTCGAACAAAAATTTAACTGCCCGTTAGGATGTGTACGAGAGTCGGATCAATTATTAATGACTTAACCCTAAAATACTGTCTCTATTTAAGTTTTTATGAGTTTATTTTTTTGGAAATATTCAAAATTCAACTTGCATATAGTGTTATTATTTAGCCCCTGTTTGTTCCATTTACTTCAACTTTATTTATTTTTTATATTCATTTTTAACAACAATGTACAATAAAATATTATACATGCAAATCAAAAAAAAATTCATACTTTTTAAATACGCATTCTCCAAAAAAATATTATTCAAAACATAATTTTTTTTAAATTAAATGCCACCAAACAGGAGCTTAATGTTTTATGGTTAGGATGGCCTGAGTTTTACCATGGTTTAATCATTTGACTCAAATTTTGGGGTAATAAAAACAAAACGTCCTTATCGTTTTCACTCATCGTACAAATTATCATTATCATCTCAAACTTGATATTTACAATCTCATCTCAACATTTTCTTATGGAGTTGGTTATTCTTATCTCAGTCAATTTCTTCCGTCAAATATGGGCAATTTGACTAATTTACCTTCATCTTTAAATAAACATATAAAAAAGAAATAAACAATGTAAAAAAGAAAAAATTGCATTCAAAGCCCTAAAATTTTCAAATAGTGCAAACGAGTTCTACTTAAAATAATTTAAAGCACATTAACAAAAAAAAAATTCATTTTCCCCAAATTATGAAAGACGAGGTCTAAATTGCCAAGTTCGGAAGATGGAGGATCACAATGCAAATAAGAAAGAGGCGAGATGAACCAAAAAGGAGAATCAGAGACCAACTTATAATGAAATGCTTTGTGATTGCAATGTGTAAGAGGAACGGTCATAAGTGTACAACAATAATCACCACAATGTATAATCAGTACATCGTGCAACCGCAACTACATCAACCATGCTATCCTAATGTGTAAACCGATTGGTTCCATATTTCTTTCCTACTTCAAGTTAACCTCTACATGAAATTAATTTGAGGCTCAAATTTTGACCTGGTTGGGAAACTATAAATACATATATCATCAACCTTTAAGGGGTTACACAATTTCTGGAAGAAATTTTCACAAATTTTGAGTAAAAATCTTACCGTTATACAGGAAGGATTTTGACCAAACCAAGTGAATTTTTGAAAATGGAGTCAATTATTGCGGCTCCAATGGTTAGATTTTTGCTATGATTAAAATTTCTCCCAAACAAGCACTTAGAGTGAAAACACATCATCAATCACAAGAATCAAGAATTTCACGTGGATTTTAGGACTTAGAAGGCAAAGATCTTTATTATGTCCATGTTTGGTACCCATTAAAATTTTCATTCTCATTTTTCTACTCATTTTCAACTACACATTTTCATTAAAATAATATTTTCCATCACATTAATGACTTTTCCTTTTTTTTCAATCACACATTCCCTATCAATCTACTATTCCAAAATTTATTTTTACAATAAAATGGGGCTCAAACATGTTCTTAGTTTGTTCTTGTTGATAATCTCATCTCAAGAACT